GGGTTTCACAGCCATTGACTCAAAGACTTGGCCCAAAGTTATATAGCGATTAAATGAGTGGCCTGAAACCAGATAACCAATCTAGTCTCACCCCCCGCCTCCCCCATTTTCTGTAGAGGTACATTAGAAAATTACTTCTTCCTGTTTGGAAATAAATCATGAAGGCCTTTTGCATTTTTACATTTGTGATTATGTTATTGTTTCTTGTTAATGCTTCTGCCATGTGTAGACAATGGAAGCACATCAATATCTTAGTGCCTATTACGTGACAGGCACCATGCTGGACACTGGACATGCGTTAGCTCATCCAGTCCACCCACCGACCATGGGATGTAGACATTATGGTCTCCACTTTACAAATGTGAATTGTAGTTATGGAATTGAGCCAGCTCTTTCCAACTCTAACGCTCAGTCAGTCGAAAGCTGAGGGACAGAATAACTACCTTTGAGCTTTCTCAGGAAGAAGGAGGCGGCAGAGGAGCCACCCAGAAGACTTGTGTTGGGAAAACAAAACCTCATACACAAAGCTTCCTTGCTAGTAGGGGGCTGAGGGTACACACTCTGCAGACATCTCTGATTCTTACTAGCTGTGTGCACTTGGACGGTACCATCTTCTCAATTTTTCAGTTTCCTCATCTGAAAGATGGAGACTCAGGAAAAATAATTATAATTCTCATGAGGAATAAATGAGGTAACTTATATAGAGATCTCATTGTACAAGTCCTGGAGTAAACATAGGGCTCTGTTAATGTTAGTTTTAAATGAAAATGATGACTATGATGCTAATAATGATAATATAAACCTAAAGTTGCACAACTATATATAGCCAAGGAATGATTTTAATACTAAGCCAGGAATTTAAGTAAAATTAAAAAGAAACATTTCAATTAAAGTCTTCTTGAAGACTGAGTTACACTGATAAAGATTTAAAAATTATGAGAACAATACAAATTTTTTATAGTTGATTAGTATATTTTTCTAAAATGATTTTTGACATTTGAATCATATATTTTTTTAAACCATGTGACTTGAGCATGGAATGCATGCATTTCCACTTGTAATTTTTAATAGGGAGAAACTTAGGAGGAGGTAGAAAGGTTAGGGTGCTCCTCTTTGATTTTTGGAGAACAATAGAAACATGTCAGATGGGGAATTTCAAGTGTTTTATAGGTGTTGGTAGCATTAAATGACACAATGTGAGTATGAGTGTGTGATTTGAGAGCAACTGTGTTCTTACATACCCAGCTGTAATGACCCAGGGCAAAGATTTTTACTTATGTTAAACCACAATCTGTTTTATTATTGTATATGACTTTAAATAAACATTGATTCTTAAGTGATTAATTTAATAACTTTGGGCAGCAAGTTTGGTCTTGTTTCCTGTTTGGTTGTCTCCCCATGGCTGGCTTTCTTGCACCTCAGTGATTGTGGGGCATGTCATCGTACCTCTCATAATTTTCTATTCTTTAAAAAAGTTGTACTGGATAATCTCAGACCTGTCTTGTCTCTCTTTTTTTTTTTTAAATCCTCACCCGAGGATATTTTTCCATTGATTTTTTGTTTGTTTGTTTGTTTGTTTAAATAAAGTGGGAGGAAGGGAGGAAGAGAAAGAGAGAGAAACAGTGATGTAAGAGAGATACATCAACTGGTTGCCTCCCACTTGACCCTGACTGGGACCAGGGATTGAACCCACAACCAAGGTACGTGCCCTTGACAGGGAATTGAATCCAAGACTCTTTGGTCTGAGGGCTGACACTCTAACCACAGAGCCAAGCCAGCCAGGGCATGCTAGTTCTTTAATGCCATGATTTTTATAGTAAAATATCATGTGTGACTGACTCTCAGTCTTGCAGCTTGAATCATGTAGTTATAAGGCATTTATTAGTGAGGCCTGGTTCCTTGATTGGAATTAATACTTACATTGACTCTGAGTGAACGTGAGCTTTTTATTTGGAAGGCTGACTTGTCAGAAACACGTGAATTTATTGGGAAGGTGATGTGCAGTCCCTCCGCACGAGGATAAGTGCAGTGTACCGCAGCCCTTGTGCATTTTATGTCCCTGTGATGGGTTCACTTCAGGCTAAGGAGAGCTTGCTTAGTGTCACTCAGACTTAAACACTTGCACCATTCTTACGATCCAGTCTGTCTTCTGCAGAGTGAGTGATGATCAAACAAGAAATCATTATTCTGTAAAGGATGAACCGTGTTGGCATCTTTTTTGATGCCAGTATGGCCTCTTCTCCTCATGAACTATTCATGAATGCCCACTTCTTTTTACTGCTATTTATAATTGTCTGCCTTTTTTATTTTCTTAGGGTTTTTCATATTGTATCATTTTTTTGTATCAGACACCATGATCTTACAAGAAAAGCAAACACACGCAAGGGTAACACAGGACTGAGCTTCTGTTTCCGGGACTCAGGAAAGCATTTGCCTTCCTGTTGTCAGGGTGTTTTGAACATCTGTTAATATTATCTTTAGATTCTTTTCTTCTGAGTGGACTGCCCATAAAGGAGAGGTGTTTGGAATCTGTGGCTGCCCTAAATGAATTCAAAGCACGCTGCTAAGAAGAATTTTCCTTGCAACTTCTAAATAGCAATAGTAATAACCACGTTGTATAGATTTGAAGCCTGTCATTTTTAGTGACTAAGCATGCAGGCATGTACAAGTTTTTTATTTGGTCATGTTTGCAAGTTCTTGAGGAACTAGTGAAGAGAACAGTAATGTGCATGGAATACCTTTCATGCAATAACTATTGACGTAGTACTGCTCAGCTTAACAGTGTATCATTGGCCTTCCTGGACCCCTGTTTTCTCACCTGTAGAATGTGGTAGTAGGTCTAGAACAGGGTTTCCCAGCCTCGGCACTATTGACATCTGGGCCAGTTAATTCTTCGCTGTGGGGAGGGGCTGTTCTCTATGTTGTGAGATATTCAGCAGCATCCCTCGCTTCTGCCCACCAGATGCCAGCAGCACCCCCTCTGTTGTGACAAACAAAAATGTCCCCTGAGGGAACAGAGTCCTCCCTGGTGAGAACTATGGGTCTAAAATCACATTTAAAAAAAATCACATTAAAAAAAAAATCACATTTTAAATTTCAACTTGAATGTTGTATGGTCTAAGAGTTTGCAAACATAATAATCACCAATGTCTTGCAGTAAAATCTCTTCAGTGAAGTGACATGAATGAAGAACATGGTTTATTTTACTGCGCCTTTCTGAAGGCTTTCTTGGTAAGGTTTAAATATTACTATAAATTTGTTCCATTAAAATTTGAAACCTCCGGCCCTGGCCGGTTTGGCTCAGCGGTTAGAGCATTGGCCTGCGGTCTGGAGAGACCCGGGTTCAGTTCCCGCTAAGGGCATGTACTTCGGTTGCAGTTTGTCCCTGGCCCTGGTCGGTCGTGTGGGTGGCAGCCACTCGATGTGTCCCTTTCACGTCGATGTTTCTCTCTCTCTCTCTCTCCCTCCCACTCTATCTGTACAAAAAATTGTAAAAATGTCCTCGGGTGAGGATAAAAAAAAAAAAAACAAACAAAAAAATTTGAAGCCTTCGTTTTCATAGTGTGAAAGAGGCCACAGGAGAAAAACCTTTGCACAAACAAATCGTCATGTTTCTAGATTAACGTGTATGGTTGGGATGGGCCCTGCTACTGGCTGAGTGGTTACTCAACAGGGTCATTAAAGATAATGACTACAGCATATAGCAGACCTTCCAAAATGTTTGTTGAATAGGTGGATGAGGAGTAGATGGACAGATGAATGGAGGATCTGCTATTGCTCACTCATGCGGCTTTGGGAAGCGTATACCATCAGTGACACCTACAAATGGTGGGCGTGAAAGCAAAGGGAAGAGGGGCTGGGTGTGAGCACCGCAGGGCCCCTTCTGTTCCTCCAGGTCCCCCACGGACCTGCCTGCTCCGCTCTTCCGTGGCTGCTTCCTGATTCTTCTCTCCACAGCCCTGCATCCTGACCGGCCTTATTCTCCCTTCTACATTTGTTGCCTGAATTGATTTTATTAGAGCTTTTTATATTGGATTATTTATTTGCCTCAGACATCATGATCCCATAAGAAAACAAAACCCACCACATTTGACTGAATCTACGACATCTGGGCAACCCTGAGGAAGGGACTATTTAATCTTCCTTCTGAGGTCGTTTGAATCACACTAGTGATGTGATTCCTGACCTCTGGAAATCACTTCCTTTTGGTTTTCTGGAGTCCCATGGCTTTCTTTGATAGTTTATTCTAGGACAATGAAAGTTTTTAACCAAAGGGACCTGTATTGACAACTGTGATTGATGGATTCCATGTTTATGCCCTCACAATGATGTTATTGATATGGCCCCCAAAAAGGTATTTCCTTCACTTTACAATTCAAGGAATTGAGGCCTGTATTGGTTAAGACATAGAACAAAGTGTCTATGGTTATAACTGTGAGCCCAGATGTTGAGACCAGGTCCATAGCAGCAAGTTGGAGGGTACAACTGAGGCAGGACAGATCATTTGATACTAAAGTATTGAATCTATGGTACTAGAAACATTGTAACATTTTTCTTTTATTTGTTTTAAAGTTATAAAAATAATGATCAAGAGTGGCCACATCACCCTGGCCAGTTTGGAGCCGTTAGAGCGTCGGCCTGAGGTCCGGAGAGACCTGGTTCGGTTCCCGCTGGGGGCATGTACCTCGGTTGCAGTTTGTCCCCGGCCCTGGTTGGGTTGTGCGGGTGACAGCCACTCGATGTGTCCCTTACATGTCGATGTTTCTCTCTCTCTCTCTCTCTACCCCTCTCCCACTCTATCTGAACAAAAAATGAAAAAATGTCCTCAGGTGAGGATTAAAATAAAAAAAAAAAAAAAAAGAGTGGCCACATCACAGTACCATTGCTTTGAGTTAACGGGACTATCTTCTCTAAAATGGACAAATGACGATATCAAGCACTTCCCTCTTCGTTTTATTTCAGTAAATGTTGTTCATGATCTGCTTTTTTCTCTCTTGTAGACCCTCTCTCACCATGCCCCACAGGAACCTGACTGGGAGCTGCAACGTTAACTGTGGTTGTAAGACACACGAGTACGAGCCAGTCTGTGGCTCAGACGGAATCACATACTTTAACCCCTGCCTGGCTGGCTGTGTCAACAGTGGTAATCTTAGCACTGGGGTGAGTACAGTGCGCACGTTCCTGTGCTGTTGTTAATCCAACATCCTGTGACAAGGGCGTGGTAGAATTCAGAGGCAAACACGTGACTTCAATCTCCCTTTTCAAGAACCTTCAAATAACCTACAAAACACCTATGACATGAACCCAGAGGACAGAAAGTCATGCAGTGCCGTGATTTTCCCCAGGGATAGTTGGGGTATTTGGGAGTAGTGCTTTGCTTCCAAGCAGCCCTCGCTCCTACTTTGCACATAGTGCCGACTGGCTGCAACTTGATAGGGTTGAGAGCTGGGCCTCTCATGAGTTCCTCCAACAATGCCCTTGTGATGGATATGAAGGTCAAGATGACCCACTGGTGCTCACAGAAGAGGATAGGGGCGTACCTCCCCTGGGGACAGTCAGTGAAGATGGGAAGTGGCCATTTTTCATAGATTATCAGTTCCAACTTTTTTTTTTAGCTTTCAGAGTAAAGATATTTTTGTCAGTTCAAGAATAGGCTACTTTGAGAATTCCCTTCCCTGTGAATTATAAATAGGCTGTAATACTGTAGGGAAAGGCTTTTATATCCTACTCAGTTCCTTATTGAGTTTGGTTTCAATCTTTGCATCAAAACGGATTGTAGGAGGCTGGTGATAAGGGATTATCCCATTGACTGCGTGTTTCTGGAATGTCATATTTGACTTTTGAGTTTTAAGTGACAAATCGAGAATTCCTGTTGCTGGCTCCCCATTACATGATTAGTGAGCTCCAGTGTGTGACCACGTTGAAAGAGACAATGAGGTCTGTTCTTCTGGTGGCTGTCCTTCCCTGGGAGCGAGCTGGTTCTCTGGTGCACATTCTCCCAAAGAGGATGGCTGTCCTTGCGCTTAGTGCCTCTCTAAGTGACTGACAGGTCACAGTTGCAGAGAGTTCGGCTGAACTCCATTCAGTAAAAGCAACATAATAGGCAAGAAGCTTCGTTGGTTGTTTCATCAAAACAGCCTTTTAGTCCCTTGAATTAGCTGGTTTCAAATGAAGCAGCCAATACTATCAATGTGCACTACTATTGGAACGGAGGTCATTATGAATGGTCTGCATTTACATAACATTTATTGCAGGTCCTACTCTGAGTTCAGGGTTCTGCTAGGTGCTCTGGTGAGCACAAATAGTGTCAGCAATAAAAGTTAAGTTACAAGCAAACAAAAACAAGGCTCAGTTCTTGTTTTCTTTTTTAAAAATATTTTTATGGATTTTTAGAGAGAAAGGAAGGGAGAGACAGGGAAAGAGAGAGAGAAGAGAGATGAGGGATCAGACCCACAACCTGAGTATGTGCCCTGACCAAGAATCGAACTGGCAACCTTTCCGTGCTTGGGACAGTGCTCAACCAGCTGAGCCACCCCAGCCTGGGCGTGGTTCCTGGTTTTGAGGACTTCTATTGAAGCGCCCTGGAGTTACAGAGCAATGGGAGCTGCATTTAATTAGGACTAAAAATGAGTGCACAAAATCTGAATGCTCTAGAGTTGAGTGTTGAAATCTTCTTAGAAAAGTTTGGTTTAAACAGTTTGACCAGTAGATTTTGGTATTGTTGGATGCACTCTTTGGACCCCTGTTGTTAACAATGAGAAAGACATTTCCAAGTAAATATATTGCATTTTTTAAACTACTGGAGTTTTTGGGTGGCATTTGAACTAAACTGTCTTTCTATTCCTATGTTGAATTTTGCTTTTGATTGGCACACAGCTAACTGATCTTTATTATCGGCCACTCAGATAAGGAATTACACGGAATGCACCTGTGTCCAAAGCCAGCAAGTGATCACCCCCCCCACGATGGGGCAGCACAGTCAGCGCAACATGATTATCGTCAAAACGTACCTCAACAAGAACGGCTATGCTGTGTCTGGGAAGTGCAAACGGGCCTGCAATACCCTCATCCCGTTCTTAGTCTTTCTTTTCATAGTCACCTTCATCACAGCGTGTGCCCAGCCCTCAGCCATCATCGTAACGCTCAGGTGAGAGCAGCGTTCAACTTCGCGGGTGGGTTGCACACTCCGAGTTGCCAGAACACCGGCTCCAGGACCGGGGTCTGGTGCACAGAGGAAGACAAAGTTCCATGTGCTGCAAAAGCATCGGCTGTTTGCCAGGCGAACTTAGAAGTGAGCTTCCTGCGTCGGAAAGAGAGAGGAAGGTTGTAACATGGCATACTCCAGAACTTTCTTTAGTCAGGCGGGCTTTGTACCTGTAGTTCAGGGTAACTTCTTTCGGGTGCCTTGGGTTCTTGAAGCTTCTGCACTGAAAGGTTCTCCTTCAGGAGCGGAAGCATCACCACGACATCCACCGGAAGCTTGGCCCCAGAGGCGGCGGGAGGTCCTTTCAGTGAAGTTGCTAAGCCCTGCGTACAGCAAAACAGATGATCCCCAACCCTGTACAAAGTCACCACCTCCACCACTGACAGCTTAGGCTGGGCCTGCAGTTCACAATGCTGATTTCACTGCTTTTACTCTCATAAAATTTTGGAGTCAAACAGGGAAAGGGCAGACTGGAAAATGTAATTTTTCATTTCACACTCTGCCTTTTTTGCCATATTAAAGATCCCGTTTCTTTCTTTTCTTTTTCTTCTATGAAAATGTGGATGTTACCTTTAATGGAAGGTCCTTTTCAAAATGTTGACACTAGCACATTCCATTTAAAGTAAAGGCTGTGGTGGGCAAAGGAAGGAGGGGGCAGCGTGGAGAAACCAGAACACACCCACGACCTGACCGTAGGGGCCGGGGTTGCCGTGCATGGAGTCAGGAAAGGGAGTCAGTCCTTGATCTGCATTTATCTCCTCCGGCCTCCTCTGTTCCCCACAACGCTGGGCACCTGGTGGGAGCTGCTGCAGAGACAGCGGCCTTGGGCTGCCTGCCTGCTTATTCTGCGCGGCTGCCCAGCCAGTTCCCTCCTGGACAGGTAGATGGCAGCACCTGGAAGGCCTGCTGGTTTACTCACTCAGTCCTCCCTCAGCATATGGTTACGGAGCAGCAGCTCTGTGTGCAGCATCCGGCTGCTGCTCTGAGAAAACGAAGAAGCTGGGGACAGAGGACAAGAGCTGGTCCTTGGGAATTTTACCTTCTCTGCCTAGGACCCATGTGTATGGGATCAAAAGGCGGAGGTACTTCGCCATTAAAAGATATGAATCGTTCATAACCTAATTCTGTGACCTTTAGTTCTACAGGAGAAGTTAAATAACTTTATTCTTTGAATTTTAATTCTGCAAGAGATGTTCGGTCACCCAGATAAGGGCTGCCCAATTTCTAGTGTTCAAACATGGCAGTTGGCATCGAACCCAAAACATCGGAAAAGGAGCCCTTTAATCTTTGCTAATTACAAAGTCAATAGACTCTAACCTTCTGTCCATGTGGGAATGACTTGGTGCATACGTTTTAGGAAAAGAAGGAAAAATGAGGTGGCTGGAAGGGAATTCTTTATTTCTCTAACTTTTGACTTGTTCCCTATGCATCATCATTATTATTTTTTTTTTAAAACTATATATTATAAAACTTCCTTCTCTATACTTTTTCCTGAGAAATTACAGAAGAAATTTTCAGTGTGCACACCATTCAGGAAAGTGCAGGCAAAGAGGGGGGAAAAAGTAGCAGTTAGGATACAAAGCTTTATGTACTTAACAGAACTGATCTGGGAAGCTCAGTTAGAGCCACTGCCCACCGCCAGCCCTGACCCTGTATTGACATGGGAATGATGAGCGTAAACTGGAATTTCTTGGATGTCTTCATTGGAGACACCTTTATTCACCTGCTTAGCCATCAGCCGTCTTGCTTGGCTATTAGTAAATTCTAGCAAATGAAATACTTTGGCTCAGCCCCTCTAGCCCCGGGCCCTGCGCTAAGCTGGTTTGACTTGACGTGATTGTCTCAAGGCCACGATTTTGAAAGCTTTCTTTCTTCCCCTTCACTTTAGGTCTGTAGAAGACGAGGAGAGACCTTTCGCCCTGGGAATGCAATTTGTTTTATTGCGGACGCTTGGTACGTTCCTCAGTTTCCGAGTGTACCCCTTAGCTCCTCTTGGGAATGGCAAATTCTCACTGTGCTTTACACATGGCGGGTGAAGCCATTTGTTACAGTGTAGTAGCTGGGCTGCGTAGTTTGGCAGTGAGGGCACCACTCCCCTGGTTTCTGATTTGAAGTAAAAGCCGACCAGTTCTGTCATTGGATGAAACAAAACCAGAGTTGAGGCCTATTTTTTTTCACCGTCAACATGAACTTGGGCAAATTCCCCAGGGAACTTGGTACAGTGTAAAAGATTGAACCAAACAGTTGTGATGGACTTATGATCCTGGCTGTTTTTGTCCCTTTCTGGCTTTTTGGCATGACAGTGATGGGGAGTGGTGCTCTTTTTATTCGTGAAAATTTCCATTTCTTCTTTCCAGTAATCTTGTTGGATTGAGCAAAGAGTGTGCCTATCAAGTTGTCTGAGGAAAAGAAATAAAATATTGTAAAAAGAAAAAAGAAAGATACCCAAAGTGCCATAAAGGCGCTGCCCTTTCCTGGGTACCAAGAGAAGCCCCCTCGCGCCATGTCAATGCGGGAAGTCGCCGAGCTCGCTTGGGCATGAATATCGTTCTGATTTTCACAAACACTGCATCACCCTGTGATGTCTTGGGACAATGCCTGGGAAATAGCGTGTGAAGCAGTCCATTCTCTTGATCAATTTCAATGTATTTTTAATTGACTTCCTCATCATCAGGCACATATTTTCTTTCTTAAGCGGCAGTCTGATTTCCTACAGCTGTTATTTCCCCTAGTAATCAGTATCATTGTCCACAAGACAAAAAACAGTTTTCTGATTCAAATTTTTTATTTCACTTTTGAAAGATGAAACATTTTAGAATGGTATCATCTGACCCTTTGAGGCCCTAATCCTCACTGGAATTTTCAGTTTGCCCCAAGGTTTGCTCCATGCTGTGGTCGACGGCCTCAAAGGCTTTTCTCTGGTTGCGTTGAATGTGTGGCTGATTTTTTGGTACCAATGAGATGCCGAAGCTACCATTTTTCAAAGCATGCTAGTTAAAGGAAATTCTGTCATACTTTGATATAGTTAAGAAGTATGCTTTATACTTCTCATTGAAAACTACAGTTGTTTTCAAAGAAGGAAGTTTGTTTAGCAAAGGGATAGTTGGACAAGAAAAGAAAAAGATAGTTCCTCCTTTTTGCTGGCCTGTCCCTGATGGAGTTGGGGTGCTTTGATCTGGATGCTGGGGTAAATGTAGATTAACAGATGGACACCAGCAGGATGGAGAATGTCCCAGGCATTTATTTAATTCAACCTTAACTTATGTTCCATTGATTATTTTTACAAAGTTTGGCCAATAAGCCAATTTCCATTTCTCCAAATTCCAAAGAAAACAGAGAAGTTTAATTTAAAAATGTTAAATTTTAATTATAGCAAATATACCCCCATTTAAATGAATGCAACACATCTAAACATGTGTATCACCCACCGCCCCCTGGGCTTTTAGCCCACCTGTCTTTCTTCTTTCCTCTCTTCTTCCTTTCCTTCCTCCCGAGCTCCCGCCCTCCCACCACTTCCTTCTATAACCTCTTATTGAGAATCCATAGGCTGTCCTCTTGGTCTTTGGGATGCAAAGAATAAAAGGCATGGCTCCCGCCATCAAGGAGCTTATGGGTGACAGATGTGCAAACAGTTTAAATACCAGGTGATAGTTGAAAAATGGAGGTATATACAAAATGCAGTGGGAATAAATGGGGTCTGAGGGAGTGGGGAACTGAAAGGAGGGGTAGAACTGAAAGGTGAACAAGTGGGGGATGGGGACACATTCTCGGAAAGGGAGTGACACGTGATGAGGAAGCCTACTTGGGTAAACTGTCCTTCTTGTTATGGCCCCCAAATGAAGTTATTATATCATGGCCCCACAGTGAAGTTATGACTACTCAGCACAGATGTTTCTAAGCTTCAAAGATGCATTTCATGCCTTAATTATTTGTGTACCTCAAGTGCCTTTATAAAGTTGCTGTTTAATATGATTTTCTGACTTATGGGAGGCAATGTTTACCTCATCCAATACTAGAACCCAAGAACTCACTGTCCTGAAATTTAGTGGATCATAAAGACTTCCAATAGAGCCTCTTGAGCGGTTAATGACAAAATCTGATTTTGAAATTTAAAAGGATTCTCAAATTGCATTTTTAGCAATAGACATTTTTTATGATCCTAAAAGTCAATAACACTTTCCGACTGAGTTTCAAATGGGAAGATTTAAAGTATCCACATTTAGGAAACATTTTTATAATAAATATATTATGATAAGGCACGGCACCCATTTAAAGAAATCAAGTAACAAAGGAACACCGCTCCCCTCTCCCGGATTCCGAGTAAACACCTTGCTAATTTACAAATCTGTTTTCTCGCATGGAAAGTGCTGACTGTTTTCTCTGTCTCCCTGCACCTGCAGCCTACATCCCCACGCCCATCTACTTCGGAGCCGTCATAGACACCACCTGCATGCTCTGGCAGCAGGAGTGCGGCGTGCAAGGCTCTTGCTGGGAGTACAACGTGACGTCATTTCGTTTTGTCTATTTCGGTTTGGCAGCCGGCCTCAAATTCGTTGGCTTTGTTTTTATTTTTCTGGCCTGGTACTCCATCAAATACAAGGAGGACGCACTGCAGAGGCAGAGGTGGCGAGAATTCCCCCTGGGCACCGTGAGCGAGCTGGTGGGCGCCCCCGAAGGTGGCGACAGGTACGCCCGGACGAGGTCTTGCCCGGCTTTCGGCAACCAGGGAGAGTCCCGCGAGGAGGCTCGTCTGCGAAAAGGGATCCAGTGCACAGCACAGACCTACCCAGGGCCCTTCCCAGAAGCAATACGTTCCTCCCCAGACCCGGGGCTGGACGAGAGCCCGACTGCCGTGTAGCCTCCCTCCTGAAGCTTGAAAATGGAAGACTTTAGTTTTGTTGGTTGAGTTGAATATTGGCGACTTGAGAAAACACCCGTGCCTTCTTTTCTTTCTTTCCTTTTGTAACCTCTAAAGACACAATCCTCAAACCAACAAAACTCAGTACACACAGCCACTACTGATTGAGGGCTGGATACCTCAACGAGACTGAGAACCTCTCCCACCTTCTCTCCAAGGAGGAGGAGCTTAGATAGACCTGTTACCATTTCCGCTGTTAATTTCATGCTCATGCACCAATGTGGCATCAGGCCAAGGTAGGCGGTTAACAAAACCACGGGAGTGTAATAGAGGTGCCTCTCATTAGCATGCACTCCACACCGAGGTGAGCTTGACCATGACTTTGCATTTACGAATCAACGTTTTTTTAGATCTGAACACCTACTGTGAGTTCTGCTTCAAAGCACAAATGAATTTGCCTCAACTATGCAATTTGATCGGGGGAAAGTGTAAGTGCAGCATGTTACTTTTGCTTTCAGAGACTAAATCAGATACGTGTTTGAAAAGAGGAAGCTCAACTTTCCTTAAAGTACTGTCAATAGCATTTTAAGCCATAGCAGAGTTATAAATCAGGTAGGTTTTTTCAAATGCTTCAAAGGAACCATATGCACAGGGTGAAAAAAGGAACAGCTACTTCATTTCATGAAACACATTCTCTTTTGGTCTGTCTGCCCCCATCATAAAGTAGTTAAGGAGGCTGCTAAATCATCTGATAGCTTGAATATAAACTCAGTATTCCTCCATAAGGGGCTTTAAAACTAGTGTGCTAAATAATATGGCTAGGGACTGTAATTTGAAATACATAATAAGGAAAGAAACTCATGGTTTTCTCATCCAAAACAATTGCTGCAGAAATTCTTTTAACCCTTAAGGACCCACATTAGGGTAATTAGGAATTGTAACCTTGACATTCTAAATAGTTGGAAAAGGGATTTTAAAAGATGTAAGATTGAGTCTCACCCAATCATTTTAGTTATCTGCCTGGAAACACTAGCAAATCCGTATTGTTCTCTTTCTTATGTACTGAAAATTGCTGTGGTTGCTACAGAGATTGAGTCATTAAACCAGGAAAGCTACACCTGCTGTACGGAAATCACCTTGAATATAGGAGGAGAGAGATCCGGAAGCCAGACCTAGAATATGATCCTAAGTAATGATTGAAAAATACAAAATAAACTGGTCTGTCGTACTGAATCCTGCTTTATCAGGGTTAGAATCTGTTTACACTGTCCTTTGACTCCTCCCTTTTGTGACCTTCTGGAAAATTCTGCAAGAGGACTGCTTTTCCTTGGGGTTCATTATCCATGATCCTTTCTAATGCCACCCAGCACATCACTTAGACTTAGGTGCCACCCAGGATGCTTTCTACGTGATTCTTAAGGCAGATGCCTCCTGACAGCACTGTGGACTGATGGCAAGTGAACTCATGGGAGCTGGCTGCTCAGAAAAAGAATCATGACAACCCAGATTTAGGCGGGATTGTGAGGTCCAAATACCAATATCACTTTCTGCCAAGGAGCCTGTGCTTATGTAGAGCTAACCTGGGAAATGGCCTCCTTGGCTGGTTTACACTCTTCCACAGAAGGAATGTGACTGACAGGACTGTCCCATGATTCAGGCTTTTTACCCTCCATCCTTGGCTGCCCCGTGGGGTTGTGTGAATGAATATTCCTAGGAACAGGGTCCTTTTCCTCTCTACTTACGAATGGCATCAGTCAAGTGGTTCTATTGGTTGCATGCAGTTTGTGGAGAAGGTTATTACTGTTGGACTGAATAATGTCTCCAAGGGGTGGAGCCAGTGATCTCAGTGACAAGGACTTCCCTTTGAGCAGTCTTGTTTGACGGAGTCATAGAACCTTTGTTGTCTGTAGTTACACTGGTGTCCATCAAACTTTGGTCAACATGGTGCATATTGAAGGTCTTCAGAATATACTGCTGATTAACCCAGTGCCTACTCTGGGGCCTCAGGGTTCCCCTTTACCCTCTATGGGAAATCTTCAAGCCTTTGGAAGAGAAAGCTTCCCTTTGTGTTGGAACTAAAGATACGTGGTTTCGGAGGGAGAGGTAGTGTTTTCTTAATTTCCCTCTAATATGAAAATGCGTTGGTGAGATTTCCCTTTTTTATATAGCTGAGACCATGTGTTTCCACACTGTTGCAACTTCTCTCTTCTTGGTAGGATGTTCGGAAACGGAGCTGCTCTCAGAACCCAGGATAGGGACCGATGGCGCCGTCAAGCGTGGAGAGCCGCTCTCCATTCTCCACCTTGAACCGTCCTCCAGTTTAGCAATCTGTGACCCGGTGCCTGTCCTCTCTTGGGCCCCATTTGACCCATTACCATTTGCCACTCTATGAAATCCTTTGGGTTTGGTTAGGCCAGAATGAAAAGAAATTAGCATGAGTTGTACATCACGATGTTAGTATTGTTCTTCCTCAATATCCGATACTTATACATAGCAGGTGTATCATTAATGTGTCGTTGGGGAGTGTAGAGTAAGTACTAAAAATTATAGGGGACTGAAGTTTTGGAATATGTACCAAGTAAGAGTTGTCCCCGAAATGGTTTGGGCCCTGGTAGTGTCACTGAAATATTATGTAGTCAACTAAGGTGATTATATTATAGATGACGCCATTTAATTGTATATATGAGGTTCTTATATGCTTGTTAATAAATTGGTAATATTACTTTATAGTCACAGCTCCTATTATAAGTTTAATTGCCACTCTCCATGAACTTAGGCTTATAATTACTTCTTTTGGAAAAAGGTCATCTTGTTCCTTTATAAACTCTGGAGATTAATATATTATTTGGCTTATATGCAAATATAATATCCTTGACTCTAGCCTATTAATTCAGAAAGCCCCAGGGGGTGAGGTGGGGTTGGAGCACATTCTTTGGTTATTTTTATTACTGTGAAATCCTGATCCTTTGTAGGTGACTTTAATCTTGACAAACAGTCAAAAGTCATTCAGAACCAAGGGGGGAGGGGGGAGAAAGAAGGAGCAGAGAGGACACAAATGAGCATTTGTTGAGTGTTGACTATTTGCAGAACATTTTGTCAAGCACTTAATATACATCGTTTTAATCCTTTTAATAACTTTGAAAGATAATTATGTTCTGATATGTTTTTGTTGTTTTTTAAAAAAATAGATCATGAAAACTGAGGCTCTGAGAGGTCACTAGGACTGTAGAGAGGGCAAGTCAGGGTCCAACTCTCCGTGGCTCACCTCTTACACTACAGAATGCATCTAATAGTCTGGGTTGACAGAGCTAAGATGTGACTAGAGGATAGTGAGGTAAATCACTTCAGTTTTCGATGTGCTGCTGTTTCTGAAGAGTAGAGACGTTATTATTTCTTTGCGTAAAATAGAAAACAAATCTGTAGGAAACGTTAAAATCTCATGTTTAGATTTGCAAGGTAAATCTACATTTACTTAGCTAAGTGTTATATTCAAAATATTTTGTCCTAACATACCTCAAGTGTTCGTTTATAGTATGTACTTAAATGTAGAGCAAATCCAGTTTTGGGGATGACATTGAGTCTCAGTAGGGCTTCTGTAATGAGACTCTATGAGGTAGGGAGGTTCAGTTCGATTGAGCTTTGCGGATTTCAGGTGTATGCTTTTCCACTCCCTCTTTCAGAATGTTAACATTTCCATGAGTTTTTGGTGAAAATTGGTTTAAAAGTTTCCTAATAAAAGTTTTAAATGAACGTATGCAAAGTATTACATGTTAAGTGACCGTATACAAAATGTTATAGGTCATATACCAAACCGCGGTGGTGACTGTCAGTAGCTGCGGTAAGGAGCAGGAGCGTGCACTCGGAAATGTCCGCCACCAGAGAAGGGTTCCCTGACGGAGGTGAGGGCCGCCTCCATTTCCACACTGACCAAGAAAGTTCCTCAGTGGGCCGTGCCAGCTCGCACTCCTTGGTGGGCCTGGAGCCAGTTTCTTTTGGGAGTGGTTACGTATCAACCACAGGTGCACCAAAGAGAAGCTTCAGCGTGTGAATGGACTTGAAGCATTTGTGGAAATTCTCTCGTGTGCCCAGGAGCCTAGGGTAGTAGCCAGTTCTACTTTATATTTCTGTGTGTACGTAAAACATCCTAAATGACACAGAAACATGAATATAACGATTGACATATTGGTGCATACTGAGAATTCTAAGTAGCAGATAGACATCACAATGCTGTATCATCCCAGAACTGCCGAGGCTGCAGGTTGGCTGATTCTCTGTTATGCAGACCAGTAGGTGGCCTTCATGTGTTCACGTTTTCTCTTTCATCCTGGCCAAGGGAGCGCCGTGGCTGACCGTGCGTCAATGGCCTTGAGCACTCGATCTTTTCTGTCTTCTCGTCTTTCCTCATCTCCCAGGATGCTGCTGGCCGGATCCATCCTAGACTTCTCGCTACATTGGAATCAGATCTGTGTATGTTTGAAGAGGTTATTTGCAGCACTTCATTTTTACTCAGCCCTAGGAAGGGTCAAATCTGAGGAAAACCCTTCCTGGATACTTGCTTTTGCAATGTTAAAAAAAATGCCTCGGTGCCAGAAGTATTTGAGGAAGCATGCTCACCCCAAAAACACACCACTGAATTCACAGTATTTCACTCATAAGGGACCGCATGTGCTTTGCTTTTGGAAACCTGGAGAACTCCCCGGAAGCAAGCACTCATTACTCTCATAACTACAGTTTATCCATGAACTTGACGTTGCAAAAATTAAGAGTGTCAGGGGGAATCCTTTTTTCTATTAAAAAAACAAACTCACAGCGCTTTTGATATTTATTTTAGCAAGAATAATCAGATGCTAAAAATAATTCCAGAGAGGGGAAAGTATTTCAGATAATCTTTTCTTGTTTCCTCTCTAAAAACGTACACCCATGTAAGGTGTTTTTAATACTGGGGTTTTGAAGGTGTCTTTTTTCTGGTATTCTATTACATGTTAACATCGAAGGAGAAATGATTAAAAACTAGAACTAATGTTAATTGCAGGGACATGTTAAACCAAGGGGTAAACAAAAGAAGTTTAAAGATTGTATCTAGAAAATAAAAATAAGAATGATTGGTAAGACTTTATAGTGGGCATTTAAAAAAATACATATCTCTACTCCAAATCCCAAATGTCAGAAGCACGAAACAGGCGGGTCAGCCTCTAATCCTTCAGTTAAAGGAAATGTAATACTGTGTCCAATGAGCTGGAATTAGGATCCTAGCAGAGTGCGTGTTCGGAGTGTGTGTGTTTTGTGTGTAGAGGTGTGTATGCCTGTGATGAAAGGCTGTTTTGAGTTGTTGCATAAAGAAGTTTGATTTTGTGAATTTTAAAATGAATATTTATTTGGTGACCTCTTAGGGTAATTTAAAAGATGTATCATTTCCTTGTGTTTAATGAAATCTATTGTCAATGTACTAATCAACCTTGGTTTACAACATCTTGAATACTTGATCACTAAAAATTAAGAAAAACAAAAAAATAAGAAAGTGTGTTGGATTGAAAGCAGTTTGCCTCTTATGATTTCTGTGGTTTGAAGAGACGAAACAATGATGCCAGTGTGGTCATCCCCTCCCTCTACCACCGCACAATGAAGACACAGGGTTGGTTGATTAAATAGCCCACCACTGCTCTGACAGATGGTGGCAATGAACTTCTTACATAACTGATAACTTTGTCTGGAAGCCAAATGTCCTACCTGTCAACTATTAGGACTATTGTTATAAGAGCCTGGGGGAGCACATTTTACATTGAGTCACCAAAAAGAGTAATTTTAGGTAGTCCATCACTTGTCTGTCGAAATTCAAACAGACTTTGGCCCTGCAGAACTCTGTGCTTGAATATGGTTTATGGGAATCAGGAGAGGCTGAGTTATGCTTAAAAACATGCTAACCCCCAAATCTCAGGGGCTGCACAGCACAAAAGTTTATGTCTTATTTCTATCACATGGTTACGTGGGACTTTTCCACGGAGTCCTTCAGGGACCCAGCCTGACAGAGGTCCTACCACCTTTAACCCCCATCTTCTGGGACTTTCAGAGTTGGACTTGGTTGCTGAGCAAGGAGAGGGAGAGCCCGGAGAAAGGCAAAGGGCCTTTTCCCTTCCTTGGCTCAGAAATGATGCGTATCACATTGCATAGGTCTGAATTAGTTACCCGTCCCTGCCCAACTTCTGGGATCCTGCAAGTGTAGGGGAGAAAATGATGAGCATTTGGTGGGTATTTTTATTTATTTTTGCCACACAGTTGACTATGATAGATTAAGAATCATTCCCAAAGGAGTCCAACTCATTATTCGAAAAATTGGTAAACAAAAGGAAAGTCTCAAGTGTAAAAAGGAATAATGTCCAAAGGATTGTCAAAAGTTGGTCAGCAAAGCAGTTAAAACTCCCTTTCCCCAATCTTCACTGCATGAATTGTTGCTAAAGTGGCCCAGGAACTGGTCTGAAACTGGAGGAGTAGCCTGAGCTCAGATTCCGTCCGTGGGAAAAGAGCCCTGGATTTTGAGGTCTCTTCTGACAACGGCAGAACTTTCCAAGTGCACCGGCATCTGGGACTTCCGGGTGAGGCGTGGAAGGAGGTAAAGAAGCGGTGGGAATAACAGCATGACTCATGGACTGAAGCACAGTGGTTTTATTTTATATTTAGAAGACTGCCTGGAGCACTCCATAGGTGGAGAGCAGGCTAATTGAGTTCCGTTTCTCACTCTGTCACCCCCTGCGCAGCAGAACTAAAGGGTCACAGTGACTCAAGGTACATGAGTTATCGGGGGGTAGCGTGTGTCTGCTTACTTCTGGATAAAGGCATATTTCCCGCCATTCCTTGTGCATTCATCTGGAGAGCCATTTATGCAAAGAGCAAATATACCCCCTGCCCAAACCTACCACCTTTCCCTCAATTTTGTGTACAATTTAGGCAAAAGGGTTCCTCTTGAGTTCCTTTAATACTTCACATTTTCAAGGGAGAGGCAGAACTGATCTGGATATTGGACTTTTTGAAACAGATACATAAGAAAAAGTTTCTTTTGGAGAAATAAAGAGAGAGGAAAGGTTATGCTGGAGCTGCTGCTGGAGCTCAGACTTGGGTGACCTCAGTGTTTTAAGAGCTATTCAAAAGCATCCAGTTTTGCTCTTGTTTTTAAAATTGTCAGCGGGGCAGAGATGGCCCCTGGAATTTTGGCCTGTGGGAGCCAAAAAACATTTTTAATTGCACAAAGTCTTTGGAAAGCAAGGAAATCAATATTTGGTGCTCACCTTTGAATCTAAATGTCAAAGTTTGATATATTTCCAACTCATCCACATAAATCAGTAGAACGCTAAAACTGTTCATTGGCCTGCTGGCATGACTAGGTTCCTAGGCACTGAAGACAGAGTGAGCCTGCCATAGATCACGTTGTTCTAGGTGTTCTTGTCAAAATGACAAGTTCTTGTCAAGTGAAGCTACTTTTTAGAAATCAAGTAAGTAGCAGGTCTGCCAGGGGGCCAGCTCCTGGCTCCCGGCCAAGATGTCTCCAGTTGCACTACAGTGACACCTACTGGTCATTATGGAAAACACATGCTCTACTAATCTCTGGGCCCTTCTGGTTTGAGTTGTGCCAGGCTTTTAATGGCCACACATATACTAATTTAAGGTGGCGAAATTGATGACATCTCCTTTTCTGCTGAGACCTATTGGTGCCACTCTGGTTCTGGATCACCTGTGCTGTTTGGGCTGGGAAGTAGGGTAACATGGGAGAGGAGGATTGGGAGAGAGATTGCAGATTCTGAGCTCCAGCATCCTGGGAGGCTGACTGGTGTGGGGGCTGGAAATTCAGGACAGAAGGTCAATACTTTTGCTCACCACTCCCATTTGCCAGCAGAAAAGCGAGGCTGCGCTCAGCAGGAAAGGCTTCAACTCCATAGCTCCCAGTGTCCCCGACTCCCTGCGTGCTTCTCTAATATCTGGGATCAGGGACCTTCTAGTCCCGGCAGGAAGAAAATCTGATTTTTGAAAGTCATTCTCTCCACTTACTTCATACAGCAGTGGATGCACTATGAGGCCCAGGTATTAGGCTGGCGAAGTTTTCAATGTCAACCACACAACTAGGTGAGTTGCCCAATACTAAACAATGGTGCCATTACGTTAAGTTTCTTGGTCTGAAATGGGGAAAGAGCAGGGTTATGCACGTAGCCCATTATTCTCACCCTGTCGGCCCAGATTTAGTACAACACCATGTTTCTTTACCTAAGGGAGAGTGTAAAATGGGGGAGATGTTATGTCCAGGGTGGAGGAGTCCAGGAAAGCTTACATGGAAAGAAAAAGCAAAACAAATAACATGGGCATTGAAGGGTGGATGAGATTTCCACAGGTTGAGGTGGGGAGTGGGGATTAACCCCAGGAGGGTAGGTGGAAAGTGGAGAAAAATTCAGACCTGGGAAGGTGGTGCCCACCCAGGGGACGCTGGTCGTGGTAGTGAGGTGGAGGGGGAGCAGGTGGGTGGGTGAAAGGTTAGAGCTTCACAGAGGACACTAAACCATCATTGAAGATTTCTGAGTCGGAGGCTGAGACCTGAGCCATGGTGAAGACAGACTCACTTGGTGGTGAGTGTGGGATATGTTGGAGTTGGGAGAGGCTGGGGATGGAAAAGGGGCCAAGGGGGCAATTATAGCATCCATAGCAGCTTCTACAAGTCATGAGGGCCCAAATAAACCAGGCTGGTGAACCACATTGAGGTGGTACTTGCCCAGAGTATTTTAATTATCAACTGAAGTTATTTATTTTTCATTAAAATAAAATTTGAAAATATCAAGCAGAATTAGACTAATTTGGGAAATGGAGGACCTGAGGTCATATCAGCTCTAAAGCAAGTCCTGAAAAACAAGTACTTAAAAACTTCTTTAGGAGGTATGTTTGGCATGGAATGGGAGTGGTGAGTATTCATTCCTTTTCTCTTAAAACGTCCTGCAAATGCCGGTGGTTATAGGTGATTTCTTTCCAGAAGGCTGGGAAGAGCCTCAAATATTAATTATCTGGCCCTGGCCAGTTTGGCTCAGTGGTAGAGCATCAGCCTGCGGTCCAGAGAGACCCGGGTTCAGTTCCCACTAGGGGCATGTACCTCGGTTGCAGTTTGTCCCGGGCCCTGGTTGGGTCGTGCGGGTGGCAAACACTGGATGTGTCCCTTTCATGTCGATGTCTCTCTCTCTCTCTCTCTCTCTCTCTCTCTCTCTCTCTCTCTCTCCCAACTCTATCTGAACAAAAAATAGAAAAATGTCCTTGGGTGGGGATAAAGAAAAAAAAAAATTAATTATCTGATTTGGGTATGGCAGACAGGTGTCTGTCTTGCATGCCAACATCAGATCAACAGTGTTGGTGGTAGTTGGCTGAAGAAGCCAGCTTGCCCTGGTCAGTGTTGCTAAGTTGTTAGAGCATCGGCCTGTGCACCAAAGGGTCACAGGTTTGATTCCCTGTCAAGGGCATGTATCTAGGTTGTAGGTTTGATCCCCAGCCTCAGTCAGGGCTGTCTCTCTCTCTCACATCGATGTTTCTTTCTCTCTCTCTCTCTTCCTCCCTCCCTCCTTTTCACTCTCTCTAAATAGTCAATAGAAAAAAAATCCTTGAGTGAGGATTAACAAAAAAAAGAAGAAGAAGAAGAAGATGAAGCCGGCTTCACTGAGCACGTTCTCAGGACACAGATACTCTGGCTTAATGAAAAGGTGTCTGGACGCATTAGCAATATCTTCCTGGGCACATTTTGGGAAAAGAAAGCACATACGCTATGCATTTTCCATTTTCAATTCAAACCTCTCACTTTACAATTGAGGAAACTGTTTTCGAGAGGTTATGTGACTGGAGCAGGAGGAAGTGTATGAACTCCATCAGGAAACTCAAGGTCTTGGAGGGTGGGTAGGTCTCCACCCAAGTCCATGGTCCCAAAGAACCCAAACTACCTTTGGTGGGTACCCTCTCGTCCTTTGAAAACATCATTTGTACCACCCAGGACAGGAGTACGTCGTTTGTGGGTCCAGTGAAACATGGAAATGTGGGGTGCCTTGTTCCAAATGAAGCATTTCAAGATGGTGACAGTGAAGCATTAGGCCTGTACCCCTGCCCAGGCTGCCAGTCACATCCTCCTGACAGCGGCGAGACAGATCCACACGCCATCCCTGAGCTGAGGATGCTCTACAAATCCCTGGGGTCAGTTTCACTAACATGGCTGAGAGTTAATCGCGTAAACTGAGATCAGGACTCCATTGAACTCCCAAGGAATGTGTGTGCCACAAAAACTCGGTCAAGTTCATTTCTCTGAAACAGGTAAAGTTTAAACGCCTTTTATTTCAAGAAATAATGCTTCTAGACTTTCCTGAAGCCAGAATTGTTCTATAAAAGTATTACAGAATATTACACAAGATTAAAAAACCACAGTATGCTTCCTACTAATGTGAAGCCTTTTTACAAAGCACATCACTCATGACCATAAATATGTTTCCTCTGCCATTCAGCCGGTGACACACGCATCGGATAAAGAGCTAGTTAATTTTAACATATGTACAGAGTCTATAATAAGGACTTAAAGTTATCAAAGGTTCAGCTATAACATATTCAATTTTCTTTAAAAGAGTTTACCTTAAACACTTAAAGAACACATCATTTACCTATGTGTTCGAATTATCTATAAAGAAAATCACGGTTAGGCTATTACTGGGAAGTTGATAGGGATACTGATAACTTTCAATGAGGTAATCCTTTTGCTCATATTTAAAAATCTAATACATAACAAGAATATTTTCAAGAACACAATTTGAAAAGCAGTTTTGAACTATGCCTTTAAAAAAATCAGAACTGGTGAAGGTTTTCAAAATAATCATACAATACATATGGTGTGTTTAAATTATGAAACATTCACGAGTGTGTTTAATTGGAAAAAAATGCCTTATATAAATTCAAAATGAAATATATTTCCTCAACACTTCAGCTTCTTAGCCAGGTCAAGAAAACAAAACGAAGATGGGGGTAGGAGTAATATTCAGTCCTTTTATCCTGTGAAGAAGATAATAAAAATGTAGCTATCTTAAGTATACGGTGAACACTTTGAGGCTAGGCACAGAGAGAGCAGGTGATCTTTGTTTTGCTTATTTGTTTATTTTTACTGCCAACACCATTAGCCATGCCTTTCTGCTAATCAATTTTAGCAAGTCGAGGGAAAACACATGCAATATTTTCTGGCAAAAGCCTATGTTAAACAAAACGGGATCCACACTGCCTGTCGTCCTTGGGGGTCTATTTTACTTTGTCACAATGAGAACAAGGAGTGACACTGTGACAAGCCTGTAAGTAAAAAAAAAAAGTGAGACTAGCCAAACAGACGTGGCGTTTAGATCTAAAAGTGCAAAATCATTGAACTCAAAGTGATGGCATCGAAAGATTCCAGTGGTTAAAAATGAATCCAAACCACAGGAGGCAGTCGGTGGAAAGTGTGTTGAAAGAATCACCGAGGCTGTCCAGTTTCAGAAACGCAGGAAGGCACACCTCCAGCCGTCTCGATCGGATAGGTGTACATACGCATGTCCCTACAACTTTCCAAAGATAACACTGTTTCAGTATCCCCAACAGAAATCCCCGCAAATCACCTTTCTACTCTGGACACACAGTGAATTACACCGCCCGGTCCCTGTGCGTCCGCCCGTGCGCACTGATTCTACTGCGCGGAGGTACCTCGGGTAGCTTGGAATGTCGGTTGTCTTGATCGCCTTTATTAGTCTACTAATAAAAAGTTAAAAACAATACTGTGTTTAGGGTAAGGTAACAATTTCATCTAACCAGTCCCCCTTCTGTGACTTGGCTCCACCTCGTTCCACATGCTCTCCGTGCTGCCGGAGTCAACAGGCTGCCCCAAGGTGGACGCTTGGATCATCTGATGAGTGGGATCCACGTGGGAATGCACAGGAAGAGCGAGCTGATCTTCGGAAACATCTTCTCCTGGACCACCGGCCCGGGGAAGGCCCTCCCGGCGCCTGCCGACGGGCTGCAGCCGCGGGCTGGGCTGGCGCACCAGCTCTGGCATGTCACTGCCGCTGAGGTCAAGGTCACCATGACTCCTCTCTTCGCGCTCCATCCGTTTGTCAGTTTTATGATTTCTCCAGTGTTCAGAATTCAAACTACTAACTTCTGGAATGTCGTTATTCCATTCAAGTTTACTCTCCGGACTGAATGTTGGTCGGTTCAAATGCAGGGTTTCAAGGTCAGCTGGCAAGATCAAATGAGGGGCTTCCCCAACCATAGGGCTGGGGTCTTCATCTGAGTCCGCGGAGGCCATCTCGACCGGCACGGAGAGCTCGGCAGAGACAGCCAGGAGCCCATCACTTCGAGCAGTTTCAGTCTTACTTGTTTTATTTTGCTCGTGGTGGCCGTTCAGCAGTGCAAATACTCTATCTACATCCTCCAAGTAATTAGTCCAGTCGACCAGACTAAGTCTGTAGTTCTGTCTGTACTCATAGACGCTTTCGTTCAGGCTGTATAAACCCTCCAGGCCTTGCCCTCTGACCTCTGCAGCGGGACGGGGAAGGTTAACCTTCCCATCCCTCCCATAACTGTCCTCTGTGGAGAGAGATGAAGGTGGATCGTTAGTGGAGAGAAGATATTCTATTCTTAGGCCAGCAACTTACATTGTTTGTACAGAGCAAATCAATTTGAAGTATAGCACTAAAGAGCATTTTCCCCTACTAATTTCTTATCAAGGAGTGGCCTTAGGTTGCAAAAGTGATTGAACAATAACACAAACTTGGGAAGACGATCAAACAAGTGATAACTGCTGTGAGGAGGCACAGGCAGGGGCCCCATGTTTTATTCGTGGCTCTACTCAAGCCAACTCTGTAATCAGGAAATCATGAGAGTGAGTCTCTCCGAATCTGGGCCCCGCATCTGTCAAACGTAGGAATACTTGTGTGATAAAACCTTTACTACTTATGGGGTTGCTGGGTGAATGATGGATTTGGAAGTATTTTAATGTACTAGGCAGTGCTTAGTAAGATATTTTTATCTTATATTCCCGGGTACTTAGTATAAAAACAAAGTTGAATGCAATTAAACTCTTCAAATCAAATACTTAAATCTATTTCTTTGATTGTTGGTGGTTTTCCCTCCTAAAAGTTCTATGCCCTAGATAATCAGTCTTTCAGTGGTTCTCACAGTATGCAGAGAGTGCACCCACTTTCGCTCTCCCAGATCTCTCTACAGCACCGAGTTGGCCAGAGTCCTGCAGAAATACCATCTTTTCTCTAGTTGTGCCGGGTACTGTTCTAAAGAGGTGGCCAAGATGAATGCCGGGAACTACCTACAAGCACACAGCTCGGCGGGAAGACTACACAAAACCCCAAATCTCAGCTTAACCAGAAGACAGAACATTATATAACCTTCAAATCACCTGTAAGTAAAAAAAAGTTAATACCAAGTCTCAGCAGAGCTGTATGTCGTGCTTTGGGCACAAGCCCTAGAAATCAGTGTGGACGAGAGAAGAAGGAAGTAAGGATGGAACTAGGAATCGAAACCATCGCTGGAAAGAACGTCAGCTTGAAGTATCAACACTGTAGAGCTCTGGTAAATCACAGAGGTGCCCCAGGAGGGACTTCACTGTGCGTGCATCGAGGTGGCTGTCTGAGAGGCAGTGCCTCAGGGAGAGCAGGATATGAAAGATGAGAGACACACCCTTTGGAAACTGGGTGACAAAGGAAAAAGGAAGCAAAAGGAGGGAAGTTTCAGGTCCTGCAAGAAAAATAGAAAAACAAAAAATTGGAGGACACACAATCTTTCCCACTCCCACCCTCCCCAAACCAAGAAAGTAAAAATGTAAATAGAAAGTGTATGTGGCTACCCCGGTGAAAAAAGATCTTTTTAAATTAGGAATCTTGTAATTACTTCAAATCCATGAAATTACTCAAAGCAGCCTAAGGACACACAAAATTATTATAAAAGAAAGTAATAAGAATGAAAAAAATCTGTTGTTTTATGAAAATGCCCCTGCCAAAATAAACGATAAAGTGAAAAAGCCACAACACAACACTGTCAGGTAAATGAAACTGAACATCTGAGGATGTGAAAACCACCTTCAATCAGAAATTAAAGTATGAGCCAAGGCTCTATGTCCAGCCGAGCCCTCCTGTAAGTGTTAAGACTCTAGAAAAACAGTCTTAAAAGTGTAAGAATGCAGGGATTACTGTACATGTCAAACAGTCTTCTAGAGGATGAGTTTCATTCTACTATAAGGATCACTGGGAAACCTCAGCAGAATGGCTGGTGGTGAGCACTGAATATATGGGGTGGGCAACGCTAGGATTACAGTTGTTCGTGTAGAAAGTAATACCATAATAAGTAATAATATAAGAATAAGCTGTTTCTTGTACTCACAACTATAAACCTATTTTTGCCCCACCCTGTATTGATCAGATCCAGAAGTAAAACAAAGGTGGGGGGAGGTGAAAATATATTTATACATTTTATATGATAAAGTAGAAATAACGCAACTAGAGATGAGGGGGAAATAGAAAAGCTGAAAGAGAATGAACTCATTGAGAATATAGTTCAAGTAACAGTTAGGAGCCAAAGACCACCATTAAAAACTAACCAAAGAGATTATAAAACATTAAATATGAAACAGAGACTAGGGATGTGGAACGGGTATAAGTTCAAAGGCAACCAATTGGACACTAATACAAACCCTACTAAGTTCCAAAGGGAAAAAATAGGGCAACCTGCTTTATAAAGAAGAAGCTATCTATAGAAGATACAATGAGAAATACATAGAAACATAATGATAAGAGATACACAATTCAAGTAGACTAAAAATAACTAAGAATATACAAACGATAATCAGGCAGAGGTTTTAATGATGAAGGAAAGCATATTTACAGCAACAAAGAAGTTAAAGCACCTACAAATAAACTTAACAAGAACTGTGGAACACAGAAAAGAAAATATTTTAATAACCTCCCCAAAGACCCAGAAGTACACTTGACCAAGTGGAAAGATATTCTTTGTTCTTTTTTTTTATCCTCACCCGAGGACATTTTTCCATTTTTTGTACAGATAGAGTGGGAGGGAGAGAGAGGAAGGGAGAGAGAGAAACATCGATGTGAAGGGACACATCGAGTGGCTGCCACCCGCACGACCAACCAGGGCTGGTACAAACTGCAACCGAAGTACGTGCCCTTAGCGGGAACCGAACCCGGGTCTCTCCGGACCGCAGGCCGACGCTCTAACTGCTGAGCCAAACTGGCCAGGGCGATATTCTTTGTTCTTGATGGAAGACTCAGTATCATAAAGTTATCAAGTCTTCCTGATAATTTTTTCAAAAATCAGACAGAAAGTGGGCAGAAGACAAGGCCAGATAATAATAATAATAAAAAATAAATAAAAATCAGTAAGTAAAATGGCCTTTAAATTTTCAAAAAGATGTTCAAGTTTACTCATAAGAAGAGAAATACAAATTAAAACTATACTGAGGTACCGTTTCTCTCATTCAATTAGAAAAATTTAAAAAGTTTGATGGCTATTAAGAGCGAACACACATTGATGACGGGAATGAAAATGATACAACCATATGAAAAGAAATTCGGCAATATTTAACACATCCATGCATGTGTTTATCTTTTGACTCAGTAACCCCACGATTAGAAATTTACCCTGAAGATATCTTGAACAATATGAAATATACTTGCCCCAGGCTCTTTACTGCAGCACTAGCCGTAATTGCAAAATTCTGAGAATAACTGAAATGCCCATCCATGAAAGAGAGGTTGAATAAATTATGCTACATCCATGCAGTGGTGTACCATGCAGTGTGAAAACAGAATGGGAAAATCTCTCTGAACTGATAGAGAGGACATATTTTAAAGTAAAAATCACATTTTAAGTGAAAAAGAGACCAAGTGCAATATAGTATATAAGGTATGCTACCTTTTAAAACATATTTTTTAATTGATTTTTTTTTTTAAGAGAGAGAGAGGAAGGGAGAGGGAGGGAAAGATAGAAACATCAACGAGAGAGAAACATCTATTGGATTCCTCCTGCACTTCCACTACTGGGGATGGAGCCTGCAACTGGGCATGTGCCCTGGGCAGGTATCGAACTGGTGACCTCCTGGGATGGTGCTCAACCAACTGAGCCACACTGGCCGAGCTAGTATGCTACTTTTTTGTAAAAAGAGGGGGGAAAATACAGCATCTGGGTATTATTGCACCAAGAAACAGGCAAGGTGAAGCAGACACAGATGAGACTGCGTATCTCCAGCACATGGCGGAAAGAGGCTGTGGGAACCAGTAACATTTCTCCGCCACAGGCTTTTTAAGTTTTGGTTTTTGGAACTGTGTTAATGAATTACATACTAAAAAACAAAATTCAATTACCAATGATAAGAAGAAAATCGACCTAAAATGGAATACAAGCGAGTAAACCGGGGGTGGGAGGGTGGGGGTGGCATGGAAGAGTCCAGCTAACTATGAACACAGGCAGAAAGAACAAATAGTCTGAACTCCAGTTAGCGGATTTGTTTTTTGCAGTAGTGTATGATTTAGTGATGCTGAAATTGCCTTCTGTGTACCGTCGAATTTAATGAAGGAGTTAATCCATTGGATAACGGAACTATGTCTCTCACTGCTGGAAAAGAAAGTTGTAATATCAAAACTAGGAAGACTACAGTGAACCACCTGCTGCATTGGAGTTCGATTAGAGGTGTCAGTATCAGCACGTCGTTTTTGAATATGTCTAGATGGCTGTGTCTGTAGGTATAGGAATAGCTGTTCATATGCATGTCTGCCCTGGTTTCTGCCAGTTCCACAAAGCAGTGCCTCTTTCTTCAGCCATTCTGAAGTTCTTTATTCAGGAAGGAAAGGTGTGAATGAGTTTGCTCAGAAAAGTGAATTTTGGAAATAAATGTAGATGACTTCAAGTCACAGGTAATTCTCATCCAACCTCAGACAGAAACATCCTAACAACTGGACCCTAAGTCCCTTCGTTGCCTTGGGAGGCCGACCTCACTTCCAGCCCCTGTAACCCCAAACCCTGACCTTGACTCATCTCTTGGTCAAGTACTTTAACAGAAAAGCCCACCCATGCCAGCAAGGAGCTAAAATAAGTGGAGTCCCGAGAGGAGAGCAAGAGCGGATGCCGGGAAGGTCCTTAGGGCAGCTGGGCAGGGCTGAGGTCTGAGAGGTTCCCTCAGCTCAGACAATGAATGAATGGATCTGTGTGCGGATACCTGCGTGCCGGTGAGTGATGATGGAGATGGCGTGGTGCTGATGAGTAATATATCTTTTTGTGTTTCCTATAAACTGGCAACATGCTTTGAAGTTATAATATCACTAGTCCCTCTCACATGCCGTCTCCTTCATTTAAATGTTGTAATCCCACAGCACACCTTACTAATAATGCCCATTATTGTTGGGGTTTGATACAGGTCAGACTCTGGTCTCAGCTTCTTACTAGCACGGCTGGGATTTGAACCCAGTCTGGCTCCGGTGTCTGTGCTCTAACCATATATACAGCCTCTGACACACGCTGTGTCACCCACATCCGTCTGCAAGCCTTGGACTGTTGGTATAGGGGGAGATGAATCAAAGAATCAAAAGTGAGCCGACAAGTGCTCCTTGCTGGGGAGAAACATGAGGTGGTCTGCTAGCCTGCAGGGTGTGGCACCGAGGACCAGGGAGCAGCCCTGCGGGGTTAGGATGCAGAGACCGTCTGCCCCCCACACTGGGCATGTGCCCCCCAACATCCTCCACGGCCGCCAGGAGCTCCCGTTGCACATTACAGGGCGGCAGCGGCTGCTTTCATAGGCAGTGGGGAAAATAAACACCCAGCAGCACCCTATCGATCCTATACTGTTTTGCAACACAGAAATTACTGCTTTCAAGTCAGGCCAGAAAGTAGTTCCTGAGTCACGGGGGCCACTTCTGAGCTGTGTCCTCGCCAAGCCTGTCCCAACCAGAAGGACCAGAGTGAGTGAGTAAAAGCATTTGAGCTGCCCGCCTCACACATACACCGCAGCAAAAAGTACCTAAATGAATAATGAAGATGAATAGGAAACGGACTTGCTTTTGGAAGACCTTGTAAATAAGTCTAAGGATTAATTTTTGAGAATCCACACGACCGAAGGCAGTTCGGAAACTCCTATTTAGTCCATCTCGTACGAAATACATTTTCTAAAGTTCACTTCAATTTTCAAGTTTCAAATTCTTCAGGTTTGCGTATTGCTTTTCTCAAAGGCTTTGAAATAATATTTCACACTTAAAAATTCATCTTAATTAGTTTTCTTTAAAAAAAGAAAGAAAAGTCTTAAAGAACCAAAGCTTCTCTGCACGCGAACAGCGCCACGGCTGGAGGCGGCGTGCTGGTAAACCCTCCGCAGCGGCTTCCAGGCTGCACACCCGCAGCTCGTCCTGCATCTGCCCCCTTGCAGTCCGCAGGATACAGTGAGCAGCGACGGCCACAGCCCGCACTGCACCTGGGTGTCCAGTGAGTGCCCAGGTGTGACAGGCAAATGCTCTCAGTCGCTCTGTTCCATGATTTCCTGCCTGTAACAGTATCATCGATTGAAAGGTAGCTTGCCTCACCAACTAAGGAATGGCGGATTATGAAGATGCCAGTCGTCAGAAAATATCCTTAGATCTGTCCTTTGGTAGAGAATTTAGGAGAAAAGAAAAACAAAAAGCAACAGGTATTCACCCTGCACACACGCTTTCAGTGGCCTCTTGACCAGAGAGGGGACTCCACTGACAACTAAGGTTATCAAAGTTGTGCCTGTCGACCCAGAAACAATGGATTTGGCCCCATTTGGAGGAGGCAGCAGGGATCGGGGAGGGGAGAGTCCCTGAGGCTTTGTTTAATTCTGACTGGAGAGCAGGTAAGCATTCTTCATCCAAGAGACGACCAGGGATGGCTTGGTGGAGAAAAACGCTGACTCAGCTCTGACCAGACTGTCCTAACTAAGCTGTTGATGTCCTTTACCTCTGTCGTGACAGACATCAAAGAAGGCCACACCGACAACCCCTGAGCTGTAAAGTCTGAGTGCATCACGAAATCCCTGCAAAGTCAATATTTGGTGTCTGGTCTATTTAAAAATGTCCCACTGGGAGCTGTCCTAAGTGCCAAGAAGCAGTGCTGGCGTGTGGGGTATTACCTCGTCAGCCCATATCCCGGGTGAGACCAGCTTAAGAGTGGGTTCTTCTGCTCTGTCCTACGTGGGCTACGGTGATGCAGGTCGGGGTGGGGGCACAGGGAGGAAAGGAAAGAAGAGACAGAAGAGAAAAAGAAGAGATACAGAAATGTTATCAAGTAGCCTCAAAAGTCCAGCTTTCCTTGTTTTATTTGTTTACGTCTTCCCGCCACCTTTCCTGTGGTTTTGCTTCTGGTCCCGTCAGCCAGCCGCCCCCTAGAAGGAGGGATCTGAGATGGCAGCCCAGGAGGCTGGACAGTGGTGGTGGGTGGACACGGAGCCCTGAAACTCCGATATTCTTTAGTTTCTGAGACGGTATCAGTATGGATGGGCCAGTGAAGTCCACATGCCTCTGATGGAAATTCTTCTCCCAAGCAAATTCATTAACTAGGGTGCTGACACATCGTACCTCAGTTTCCCCGAAATAGAGGTGGTAAGGACAGACCCTCTTGTCCCTCACGGCACATTTCTGACAAACCTGCCCGAGGTCTATACTTAGAGTGGAAAAGGGGCAAGGGCTGACGATGCGGGTGACCCAGTGACATGGCCACCAGGTATCTGGGTCCCCCATCTGGAGCACGAGGAAATAAGAGGGATGGGTGGGGGTGAGGGGATAAGATGACTGGGCTGAGGCCTGTGTAGGAAGTTTTTGCGTGTCAGGCAGCACTGTCTCCGAGCTACGCTGAGACCCTGCTGCATGTCCCCATCCCGCACCTGCTCTTCATTCCCCACCCGCTGCACCGCCTTCTGAGCCACAGCACTGCTACTTTCGATAATTAGGGACGTTAGCAAGAAGCCTCTTCTACTTCCTCCAGCTTTGGCTCCAGAATGCTCTTACCACCCCCATGACTCTTTGTGTGTTCTTGATGTTATATTTCATAAAATCTCTGGCCAGTGGTCAGGAAGCCTCTCCAGCGAATCTGCGTGTAAGCACCACTTTGACTCTGCGCCCTCTCCCCAGAGCTCCCACACGTTTTTTGTTTTACCCCCCTCACACCATTTCATGCTGAAAAGCATCATTCACCAAGCGACAAACACAGGCGTAAGCTCTGAGACGTCGTGTTGTGACGGTGAGAACCCAATGACACAAGTGCAGCCCATGCCCGGGGCGGCGAGAGCCCGGAGGCCATGCGTGCACCCCGCTGTGCTCCGTGCAGTGCGGTCAGAAATGGAAATTAGTTGAAACGGCTGGATCATGCAGTGATTAGGAAAGAAGTTCCCGGGGAGAATAAATAAGGGTGAATACCTGTGTAGGTCATAGCTTCCTCCATCTTTATTTCCTGATACAGAGAAATACAAGAGTAATTTATGTTAGCGTCAGAACTCACAAAACCATCCACTGCGTAGTGCTCCACGCACAACATCTACGTCCTGGAAAGAAACATCTTGTGTGAAATACAGGCAGTGCCGAAGTCCAACAGAGTTTTCTATTAGACAGGCTCAAAAAGACGATGGAAAGCTATAAATAAAAAGGTTTAAGATAAAACATATAAGTTTTCACATGAAAAACGTGTGGGGTTGAGAAAGGAGGAGAGGCCACGTCCAAGCAGTAAGAAAATGCTTCCAGAATTCTGTGTAAGCCTCAGTAAAAGCCACATTTTGGTTATTTTTAGACAAAACCCTTGGAAACATGGGCCAATAATCACCTCCCTTAGGAATCATCTAGAAAGTGGAGAGGACATGTGAAGTCTCGCGGCAGGGACTGGGCCCCCCCTGGCAAGTCCCTCTGCCATGAATGCGCCCGGTCAGGTCTCACGAAGTGGAGCTGTTATGTCATCGCCAAGAAGAGTCCTGTGCTCTTCGGGGGAGAATATCTGGGTGTAATGTTTCCAGTGCCTTTAAGAGTTGGTTTAGTTTCCAGGCCTTTGTGGGATTTTTTTCCCCTTTTGTGAGATTTGAGGAAAAGGTCAACAGATAAGTAGGAGATCTGAGAAGATTTGAGCGGAGTGGGGTCAGTGACCAAAGACCTCGTCTGCAAGTGGGGACGGGGCTCTTCCGTCACAGTCACAGGTCCCTTCCCGAGGGTGTTAACTGGGAAGTGTTGACGGAGAGCTGAGAGCAGCCTCGCGGGCGGGATTTGTAATTTCTTACGGGACTCTCATGGCTCAAAAGCCTTCAGGACCTACGATGGTGCAAATGACAGGTGGGGCTGCTGGCCCTTGCAGGATGCCCCCACCCTTTCCAGTCACATGCTGCAGGGAGCTGTCAACTTTGATCTCTGCACGGGATCCACAGAGACACAGGCTGTGAAGGACACAGGTTCCTGCAAACAGCACCCCAAGGCCTGAGTGCCCAGCTCTTCACCCTTTGGGGTTGGTAGGCTATGCCCATGCAGTGGCCTCAGCTGGCTGCAGCTCCTTCCTTCTCCAGACAGCTGGTATTTACATTTCTACACGAATCATGAGAAAATAAGTATTCTCATCAACCGTGGGATAGACAATGCCTCCTCCTGGGCCTAAGGAGGAATAAATCAAACACTGCAGACCGGGAGGGAACATCTGCTCGGTTCCATGCTGCCCCTCACACTTTTAGATCTCGCACAACGAATGGCTCCAATAGACCAGCGTCATGGAAAATGCCGGCAAAGGAAGCCAGTGCTGGGTCATGGGCAGGGGCCCAACGGGGGAGCTCCAAATTGTGACAGGCAAAAAGGGGGCACTGTGTGTTTCCAACCACAGTCTCTTAAAAAATAGGACATCCTGAGTTACTTAGATGGTATCCTATGACTTCTGACGGCAAAATCAAACACATCCCCCGCGTTTTCATCCCATCTCCCAACGGATGCTTCTGTCGGGACCCGAGGTTTACCAACAGAAGTCCTGGGGGAAATACGGGAACAAAACGCTCACCAAATCGTTTGGTGCGCTCAAGTTTTCCTTCAGGCACCAGAGCTACATTCAGAGAAATTGTGTTTGGAATTGCCTGGACAGAGCCCCCCGTAAGTGTCCCAAACTGTGTTTCTACGCATATAAACGTTTCAAAGGCAGGAAACTTGACAGCACAAAGAATTTTCCAGGTAACAGGGAGACACTCCTCTTCCTTACCCGCTTCCAGGCCCTTAGGTCTTGGGTTGCACTGCTTATACCCTTGGCAGCTTCTGAGCTCCATCAGCTGGACATGTAGCTGGTTCAGGACGCCCCGTTCCACCGTGTGCACCGTGTTCGTGAGCTGTGGGCGGAGAGGCCAGGGAGACAGAGTTCAGCTCCTGTCCTGCTTGTTCTATTGTCTGTAACCTCTACAGAACGAAACCACATGGACTTACCTGATAAGGATCTGTATTCATATCAAAATACTCCAAAAAGCCAGTGGCGAATTCGCAGAAAAGAAAATTATGCGTCTCGTTAACTGTACGCAAACACCAGTAGGTGTTATTGTTGGAGCTCGTGCACGCACAGAAAGACCCCACTGTCGGTACAAAAGGAGACACAACGGAAGGGTGAGGAAACAGGCGGGCGAGGCTTTATCTGTCTGCTTTGCGGTTCACATTTCTTTCTTGCAAGTACTCTGTGTGGAGGGTTAAAAGTAACTATACCCCCCTCTGCTCTGGGACAAACAGAATGTCATTAAATGATGACTCTAAATCCACTGAGCAGAACAGATTGGCAATAGCAACAGAGGAGGCTGGGAGACACACGGGAAGTTTTGCAGAGGTTGAAGGAAGAAATGGGGTCTCGGGCCGGATGGTCTCAGCTCAGATAGGACGAAGCTGATACGTGACAAGCAAACTATAACTTCACATTTCTCAATACCTCATCTTCAAAGGGGCTTGCCAGCTCTGACACAGCAAACTCATTACTTCCCCAGGACGCCTGCTCCTGCTATTCCCTCTGCCTGGGGTGCTGCCCCCCACCTATGACCCCCTTTCATTCAGACTGCTTCTCTGGACCCTTTAGGTTCAGCTTAAATTTCACTTCTTCAGAAAGGCCCACCACCCCCACCCTCTTGAAAAGGGTCCCTTTTAATAGCTTTGACCACTGTTTCCTACACTGATCACTACACCTTGCTATTATTTTATTTCACTTTTTTTTTTATCCTCACCCGAGGACATTTTTGCATTCATCTTCAGATAGAGCGAGAGGGAGAGAGGGAGGAAGAAAGAGAGAAACATCGATATGAGAGAGACACATTGGCTGCCACTCACGTGACCCCAACCGGGGCCGGGGACAAACTGCAACCGAAGCACATGCTCTTAGCGGGAACCGAACCTGGGACTCTCTGGACTGCGGGCTGACGTCTATACTCTGAGCCAAACCAGCCAGGGCTATTTCACTTTCTCTTTATGACACCTCACCCCTGACTAGAATGTAAGTGTCACGAGGGCAGAGAACGAGGTGCGTCTGGTTCATTGGTGTGTCCGCAGGGCTCAGCCCAAGGCCTGGCAGAGAGCAGACCCCAGCTGTCCGCATGGCATCTCCAAATCCCGGTTTGAGAACAGTGACCCAGGGTGGGGTGGGGTTCCGCTACCCCACGGGCTGGTAGGGTTCAATCAGATAACATGCCACAAGCATCAGGGTGTTCTTTCCCTGGGGCCCAGGCCACTGCAGCAAGTATGAACATTGCTTTTAAAAGTGCATAATTGTGCCTATTCCATATCCTCAGCGATTCTATGTAAAACCAGATATTTTGTGGCATCCCTGACATTCTGCAAGCACGGTGCCAGGTGCTGAAGGGGACTCAGGCTCGGGCAAATATAGTCCCTGCATTTAAAGATCTTTTACTTCCTTTATTATACTCGGTATGCACCTGAAATAGAGCAGAAATGACATATATTTGGGGCAAATTTGTTTGACTATTATTTAGTTGTTTAGTTGCAGGCAGTTTTCCTGGGCAGCAACTCCGTCAGGGGCTGGGTACCGTGTGAAACATCAGGAGAAAAACCCAGGGAGAGTTCGGCCTTTTCAAACAAAATACAAAACAAGTTTCTAAAGGAAAAAGTAACTTTTGGGCCTTGGTCGGTTTGGGTCCAGAGGTTAGAGCGTCGGCCCACGAACCAAAGTGTCAAGGGTTCGATTCCCGGTCAAGAGTGTGTAGTTGGGTTTTGGGTTCGATCCCTGGCCCCAGTCAGGGTCATGAGAGAGGCAACTGATCACTGTGTCTCTCTCACACTGATGTTTCTCTCTCTCTCTCTCTCTCTCTCTCTCTCTCTCTCTCTCTCTCTCTCGTTCTCTCCTTCCACTCTCTCTAAAAATCAACGGAAACATCCTCAGGTGAGGATTAACCCCCCAAAAATTGTTATTTTTATTTTTGGCAAAATGATTCTAGTTGCAAGTGTAGGAAATAATCCGATGCTCTTCCTTTGGGTGATTCTAGTCCTGGCTGCATGCTGCCGAGTCTCGCCCAGGAGACCGCAGCGTGACGGCCGCGTCCCGCACGGTGGCACGCAGGAAGGGGAGGGACTCACGGTTCCAGAAAGGCGCCGTCTGCCAGTGGTTGTTGTCGTGTGTGAAGCAGGTCAGGCCGGGGAGGCTGCACTCCTCGCCCTTCCTCTGGCGCTTCTTCTCCTTCCTCTCCTTCTTCCTCCTGCGGTGCTCCTTGAACAGCTGCAGTTTGCTGTCCACTTCCTGAGCCGCCTCCCTATTCCCAGACAAGGGATTTTTTTTTTTTAATGACCACAAAGCACGTTCTTAGTTAAAAACAGGGTTATGGCTATGACTCTTGAAAAACTATTTAGACACATAATAGATAAGCAATAATAGACAACCTTTATTTTCCAGGCTCCTGCACCTGAGCAACAGTGAGGACACACTCACTGTGACAGTTCTCCCAGAGCTCTGCTGGCCTGAGCAGAACATTTCCTTCCTTATTTACAGGTGAACACGTGGTCAGCACATGCGGCTAGCTAGCTCTTTGGATAAATGGCTTCACTCTCTGGTGGCTCAGTACCCGTCAGCCATGAAGCCAACGGCTGGGTGAGACAGCTTGCCTTAGAAGGTTCCTAAAATTCTTGGACAAATTCGACAATATAGGCTTGGGAAGAGTCGTCGGTTTTTTATTATCTTGGTTTTTCCAGAAGGGCTCACATTTTGTTGAGACTCAAATACCAACTTCCCTTCCCTTGCAAATTTTACTATTGTTTACAAAATATGTGTATTTCTTCCAACTTTAGCATTCTCCAGCATGGCTGGCTGCTCCATAGAACACACCGAGCTAAGCCATCTCCCAGGCACCGGGCCCAGAAAGCCAGGCCGTGCACAGACTAAAACCCAGTTCCCACGTGTGGATCGGCAAGAGCGCACACAAAGCCAGAGCAGAATCGCATGCCCCCTCCCCACCCCGCCAGAGGAGGCCTTGGCACTGCCATGTTCCCTTGGCAAGGTGGGGGCTTGCTTTCACCTTCTGGGGCTATGCCTTCCTTCCCACTTGCATCTGCTTTTTTGCAAGCAGGCTCCCCCAGAACACAGGAGTCCCCGCAGCCTTTGAGAAGAGCCCAGCGGACAGCCCTTCGCTCCCAGCAAATGTGGGAAACAGAGTCACTTACTTGAATGGGTGGAGATGGCTCTTTAACTTCTCTTGCTTTTTTACACCTTTCTCTTTATTGTAATAGCTACAGGCAAGAAGACGAGAAAGTGAGTCTTCGAAATCACGCACTTGTTAAGCAACTTATTTTATAAAAAGAAAGCAAAATTGAAGGCAGTTACTTTGTTGTAACTATCTTAGTTTAATGGGACTACTTAATGATTTGTTTTCTTTAACTGTTTAGGTTTATGACATATTTAATTTGACCTAAATAATTTTGGTCATTACAAGTATTTGATAATGCATTCATTTTATTAAGCTATCTACTGGTAAAAGACAGAAACAAGCCTGATACTAATCAGTGTAGCCTGTGCACTGCACAAGATGGGTTTGGAAAGGGGCTTGGGGCCCATGCTCACCCCTGTTTACTGCAGACACATTCCTCCGGCTTCCTCCTCTTCAGGTGTCCTCTCACTTCTCTTAAATTCTTAATTTTATCTTGCAGAGCTTCAATCTGGAAAACATGCAATTCAACAATTATATTTCTAAGGATCTTCTGCACTAAATACCTTTCTTTGCACCATAATCATAGCCGTTCATCTGAGACGATAATTAATTTGGGAACAATGCAATGCATTTCCCTGCATATTCCAACTGATGTCAGAAACATGAACAGATGTCTCTTTTACAACGGAATTATTTTCTCACAGCGATTGCAAAAGGTCATTGAGTCAGTTCCCATTCTTTCCTCACACTGTTTCTAGTCAGGACTATCACTGTATCACTGGAGAATGAGAAACACCTTGCTGTTCTACTTTTCACATAATTACAAAACAGCGAGGTGCACACACAGTACGTCCCACCGGTGGGGCTGGCGCGTTCTCCTGGACACGGCTCACCTCTTTATCAATGTATGCCTTGTGGTCCTTCCACGCTCTGGCTGACTGATACAGTTCTCTCTCACAGTGGATTGTATCATTCGGAAGAATAAAGCACCTGCAAAAACAAATAAGAAACATTAGAAATAGGTGTGGAGTCTAATCTTAAGCAAAACATTAGAAATAGGAAAGAGAACTTAATTGTGCTCAGAACTCTTAATTTGGATACAAGCTGCAGTTTGGAGCTGAGCCACAGACCAGGAGAAGCGGGGAGTCTCCCGGCTCGGCTGAGGGCAGCAGCCACCAGCACTCAGACCACCTCTCCAGTCAGCTCTCAGTGTTCCCATCCCCATGAAAAGATAACACTCAGAAAGTCCAGTCTTGAAAGCCCCATTAAATATTGTAAAAAAAAAAAGTAAAATATTTTCAGTCATAATGGAAATGACTTGTTTGACGAAAGGCAGTTAGAAGGGGTCTTTCATCCTCTTCACTTCATTACAAAGAGCCTGTTTGAAGTACCCCGTTACATCTGAAGCAAAGCAGCAGCCCCAGGGATGGAGGGCTGGTGGGATATGAGGCGGGTTGATAACGTAAGAGAAACAGATCTTGACTCTCTGAGCATGTAGCTACAGAGACTACAGGGACCTGGCGACCAGTCCCAGAGATAAACATCTTGGCAGAACTCATGGTATCCCGCCTCCCCAAAGTGATGAAATGAAAGACAAAACAAAGAATTTTCTAATACATTCAGATAGAAATTATTTCTCTGTCAAGAGAGGAAGTGGATTTTGGAAGGAGTGGAAGAATCAAGGTAGCCCATGATAGTAGTGGGGTTCCATCTCCCTCCCGTCTCCCTGACTCCCCAGGCCCTCTGTGCTCCCTGGGATCTGGACAGGTGGGTGTTTCTGCATCTAACCTCCATTCCCATCCTACGCCATCTCTGGGAGCTGCGCCAGGACCCATAGTTCTCCCTTGATCTGTGTTTCATTTCTGAGACTGTGATTGCAACAGCTCGGAGCCACAGTGACCACCAGCACGAGGAGCCCCTGACCAGTCCAGGCAGCGGTCTCCACTATTTTCTAGATGCATTATGGCAGAGATCCGTGCCTGCTAAGTCAAGAGGTGACAGAATCACTCTGCCCAAATTCCCAGCTGATCAGCCTTAATGTGAACTCGAACCCAAAGCACATCCCCAAAGCACATCTAAGGCTACGAGATCGTTTGGGCTCCTTATTGCTGCTTCAACCCCCATTGTTACGTAGACCAGCCCTCTGACATCATCTGGCTGAGGGACATTACTTTTTGTAAAGGAACCAGATAGTGGTAACATGCGGGGATGACTTTGACGTTAACCCCGGTGCACACACGCAGCCTTCCTACTTGTGGGTCACCCGGACGGTGGTGGGCAGGCCCACAGCATTGCCGCCGCTGGCCAGCACGGCATCTCCGTGAGCACCGCTGGCGGCCTGGCGACCTCCCGGCCCCTTGTGGCCTTCGTCGTGACGCTTGGCAATGTTTCTCGGCTGCAGCACTTGCAATTCTTCCTCTTCCAGGTTTATGTCATACACTTCGCCTTCGAATTCAACTGACAAGGAACGCGTCTGCCGAGTGTGGACAAACCTGGGCTTGTACTCTGGAAATAAGGGAAGGGACGTCAATATGTTGTCCAGATGTACCCAAGGAGAGCAAGAAATGACTGCCTGGCTCCGTGAGCATTTTGGAAAGAGGCAAACAGTACACAGGGCACCGCGGTTGTGTGAACAGCCCCCTGGATCCCCCTGGCAGGGGTGGGCTCTGGCTCTGCACTGCGCGGTGGCGTGATGGCCGCCACACGTGTCCGGGTTAATCTTCCCCCAGTGAGGACAGGTCTGGGTGAGCGCTGAGGCACTAAAGGCAGGCAGTGAACCTCCCCACTGAGTTTTCAACATGAACTGTTAAGGCAGTTTGAATAAAACGATAGCCCCCATTATGGTATTAATAATGATGACTATCATTTTTTGAGCTTTTACTATGTAGCATTCATCTTGTACTTATCTCTGATCTCTAATCTTGAAAGATAGGTATTATTATGATAAATCTTTACATTACAAAAACACCAGATTATCCAAACAGGCTGATACATTTGGTGTTCTTATTTTATGGATGAAAAAACTGAAGCTTTGACTGTTGCATCCATTTGGCAAGGTTACAAAGCCAGTACGTGTGGCTTCAGATTCTAAGTAATTCAGATCCTAAAAACTAGAGTCTCCTTACTACATTGAGATGCTTTTTCAAACAGGCAAATGCTCCAGACTCCTGCTATTTGCACAAATAATAGAGAATTACTCTAAGAAAAATTAAATTTGGCAAATGCTTTCATCAGCCAGCTGACTCTTAATACCTGGCAGATAGGGGTCGAGCCAGAGGAGGCCTGCCTGCCCTTTGGCTACTACAGACCGCCGTCAAGGCTGGCAGTGTGCTGGGTAAGAGCTCTGACGTGCAAACACTGGCCCCTGCCTCTCAGACACAGAGACTCTGTGGGGCATGCCCACGTGGCCCCCCTCCCAGGACAGGAAGAAGGGGAGCATATTGGCTGCAAATTCAGGACCGCCTCTCTCTCCTACTCTGAGGGCAGTTTCCAGATGAGGAACCGCCTCCTGCCCTCAAACACATACGATTCCACAAGCCTGGAAAGGTGCCCCAGACTTCTTCAGTCTGTGCTCAGTATTGAAAAAGCAATGCACTTCATGGACAGTGCTTGGGGAGCAACACCCAGCGTCCTGGGAGAGGTCAGGGGTCCGTTCCCTTGTGGGTTTTCCATTTGATATCTTCACGTAAATTATTAAACCTAGCATTTTCTCTCAGGGAGGAAAGAAAATCTCCCAAATTAATGGTTCTCAGACTTCTGGGTTATGAAATCCTTTGAGGAGATGTTGGAAGGTTTGAGCATCCAGAAAAATGCACATGTACACATAAAATGTATTTAAAATTTTGGATAAAATATTAGAGGGCTCACAACCCTTGAAGTCCATTTGTGGAATCCAGGATTAAAAAGTCCTGTTTTAAGGGCTTCCATTGTTCTAGTGAATGATTTGATTTCCCAATTTTGGACATAGCATTGAATTTAAGGTATCTTGGTTATTTCTAAATCGGTATTGAAAGGAATGACCACAGAAATGAGCCACTGTTCATATGATGCCACTAGATGTCACTAGATTCCCATTCTTTTATGGAAGGTAGGAGACAGTTTTTATATCTATATAACAACAATCTCATAGCCGCCTGATAAGACTTTTTATAAAGAAAATACCAGGCAGTGATTTTCGCACTGAATTTAACAAGTTTGACTCTGACAGTCAAAGAGGAATTAAATATATATATGTACATATATATATTGTCCTAAACCAGATATGCCTTTAAAAATAGTATTTATGCTTTTCCTGTTAGTTAAATGCACAAACACTGAAATCTTGAATTTATTTTCTTTCTTTTTTAAAAAGTAACTTAGACAAGTCAGGACATTAGCATTAACGTAACATAAAACTGACCTGAACTACATACCCTTCACTCCTTGATAGCTGTGTGTGTGTGTGTGTGTGTGTGTGTGGGGGGGGGTCTGGTGCTTCTACCGAATATTTGCATTCTATACTTAAGTGCATGTTTACAAAGCAGACGCCCAAATGATACCAGCTTTCGTATTTTAAACAGAACGATCATTCGCTTTTAGCTCTAACACTGTGCATCGCTAACATCTAAAATGCAGGCAGCCTTTCCTCTCGCAGCGCCCATCCGAGGGGTCCGGCCTGGGCCTTACTCGGGGTGCCCTGGTTTCGCAGGAACTGCCTCTGGCCCTTCCTCTGGCTCCTGCCGGCGCGGTACCCGGCCTCTCCGCAATTGCACTCGTCCTTGTCGTGGAAGCCGCGAGGGTACACGTTCCGCGTGCTCTGCCGGACGGCCAGCAGGTCCCCGGAGCCTTTACACTTGTGGATGCGCAGCTTGCCCGAGGTGTCCTCGATGCACTGCCACTTCTGCAAAAGCCAACCAGGTGGTGTTTGTTAGGCCTGCCGCTTTGGTTTTCGAAGCTCTGGCACCCCGTTCTCGAGAGCACGAAGAACGGCGAGCCGCGAGGCTGTGCTAAGTGGGTCCCAGACCTCTTGCATTGGGGTGACGGCAAATCATCGGAAGCAGAACCGCCTCAGTGGCACCAGGGCCAAAAATGGATACATACACCCTTAGCATCCAGACTAAACCGTGTTGCATGAAACGCGCGGAAAAGCCCTTCCTTCAGCAAGCAGGGGGCACCGTGGCCAGGGCTGTTTCCCCGGACCCCTCTTTCTCTGGAAACACGGACGTGGCAGCTTTGTTCTCTGCCCCCCAAAATTCTAATGTAAACCAGGGAAGAGCGGCTCACTAGGAAGACAGAGAGATTAATCCGAGTCCACCCCACGGCGAGCCAACTTTCTTTCATACGGCCCAGCCGTGCCCGTTCTGCGTTCTGTCCTTTCTTATCCCAAAGGGACATCGCCCCCTTCCCAAGAGGCACAGGGGCCGCGCTGGGTTTCTGGTCTGCGTCTTCCCGCACAGCGCAGGAAATATAATCAATGCTATTGTAATAACTGTGTATGGTGCCAGCTGGGTACTGGAAATATCAGGGGAACATTTTGTCAACTACATGATTGTCTAAACCACTACGCTGAATGCACCTGAAACCAATGCAAAGTGATATTGAATGTAAACTGTAACTGAAAAACAAAAAAGTTTTAATCTACCCAAAAACTTAGAAAAAGAAAAAGACCACTGCAGATACTGCCTGTGTAACTTTGGACAAATACGACACAGCAAGGGGTCTTGGTGTCCCAGTTTCTGGAGAATCAATCTGACTAAAATAATAGTGCTTCACCTGGGGGTCATTTCATAGGATCCCCCAAATCTGAAAGACCTGCTTACCTTCCTTTCACTTTTTATTTCCCCGTTCTCCCTCCCTAAAAGGTTAATTGGGAAGCAGAGAGAATGTTGAATATTAAGTTGGCCACGGTTGTTACAAAATGCTATCATGTAGTGTTATCAAACTTCTGCTTCTTTTCCTTTCTGTATATGAGTATCATCTGTGTATAATTATTTATCGATACTTTTCTTTAAATGGACACATTTCTAAACTGCGGCCAAAGCAATGCTAATAGTAAAATCATGTGTTTGGCGCACCAGCTATATATTTTCACATATATATTAAAACAAATGAAAAATTATTAAATAAGAGAGGTTCTTTCATGCACCACATAAAATAATCTCATATAGCTCCTGCCCTTGCCCACACTTTGGGTGACTTTTTGATTTCAGCGTGCCCTAGGCAAGGTGAAGTTCGGTTAAGGGTCCCAGATGGCTTGGTCAGCAGGCAAAGGACACTCACTCGTGTAAGAAATGGTGTGAACCACTCACAGTGGACCAAGTCACGGGTTGTGTCCTCTTACCTCAGTAAGTGTTGAATGATCTCAGCTGCCTTTGAGTTTCCACCAAGTTGTTCTCAAATCCCAGATACAGAGGACTAGCTGTGTGATTTTGCTTTAGCCCCCACATACGTGGTGCTATTGAATTTGATTACTTCAAGCCACATCCGGTTACAACCCTCGTCTGTGGTTTGGACAGAATGTCTGGGATGTTCAACATCATCCTGAGAGGCAGGAGCTCAAGACACACAGTAACCAAACACCTATTTGCAAAGCTGTGAGAAAGCTATGCATACAAGAACAGTCTAAAGATGGACTCAGAGATAATTTAACTAAAAAAAAAAAAACAGAAACAACCCCCCAAATATGGTCATCAGATTGACTAGGCACACTGAGTTATGGCAGATCAGTGGTTCTCACACTTGGCTCTACAGTGGGATGTTCAAAAGGCCCCTGGTGATGTATTTTAATGTGTATGTAGTTGGGGTTAAGAACCACAGCTTTAGAGTCGCAGAATCTGGTTACTGGACCTTTTGCATCTGGTTCCCGTGAGGAGGGCGGAAGGGATCTCTCTGGGTCTGAGAAGGATGAGTCTTTGAGAGGTGTGTACTATTCTTGGGTGGGGGTGTGATGGAAATCTGTGTCTAGAAATGCACCAGGTGAGAAAATGACTCTGGCTGAACAGATGAACACCACCAGCTCATCTCCGCTGCCAAAACTAAGAGGAGCCCGTTCTCCTCACTGTCTCCCCACAGTTGGCTGACGAGTGATGGAATGGAGTCTTCGTACACTCTTAGCTGAACACAGCGTGTGCCTTTCCACAGTCCTGCCCTCTTGGGTGGAGACCAGCGATGCCCAGGCCACTCCCACTTATGTCCAGTTAGCTTGAGGAGGTGCCACAAAACATTCTCAGAAACTCATAGGCCACTCCATTAAGAAATAATTATATGCCATGCAGAATTCTTGCTGGTGAAAAATGTCATCAAAATAAATGATAGCTCGTTAAAGTTAGGGACCAGTGGTGCTTGAGTGACTGTCTATATCTGTCTTACATGTGAATGAACAGATGAGGCGTGTCCGTCCGCCTGGGTCATCTCTACCTCGTGTGTTCAAAAACTGAGAGTGGTCTGCTGAATGCTCACAGCAGCCAAAGAAGCGTCAGGGCTCACAGTCCGAGCCTAGTGCTCCACTTTCTATGAGACAGAAAAATGTGGTAATTTGATTCTTGAAAAATAGCGCGGCCTTCCATCTTTTTTGTGGACCCAATTTATATCAACTTGAGTACAAATTCTAATTTTTAAAACACACAACTCCAGTGAAAACCTTCCTTTTGATAATCACAATGCATTAAAAAAATTCTGCCTTTTTGTGGCCTGGAGGAGCTGAGGGTACAAGTCGATGCCTGTAGCACACAAAAGCGTAGGCAGAATCTGTAGTGACTTAGCCTGTTTGGAATACAACCTGCATTTTTCCATTAGCCAAATTCCTGCCGACTTCCTGTGGGACAGAGATGAAAGGAAAGGCTGTTTCCTTCCCAGAGAGTTGGATTGCACCACACCCGAGGTCTAGCACTGTCCTTGGCACTGATACTGTGTATGCAAAATCAAATATGCATACATATATACATGCATGTATATGTACAAACATGCACACCCACATGTACCCACATATACTACATATATACATATACCTACCACATTCTTTTTTTTTTTTAAATCCTCACTCAAGGATATTTTTTCCTTTTATCTTCAGATAGAGTGGGAGGGATGGAGAGAGAGAGAAACATCAACATGAGAGAGACACATCGACTGGTTGCCTCCTGCACGACCCCGACCAGGGCCGGGGACAAACCGCAACTGAGGTACGTGCCCTTGGCTGGAATCAAACCCATGACTCATTGGTCCGTGGGCCAACGCTCTACCACTGAGCCAAACTTGCCAGGGCTACTCTCACTGTTGTATAAAACCAAAGCCTTGGACAAAGATGCCAATTACCTTCTATACCAGGAACCCTTTGAACAACCCTAGACCTTAGAAGATAGAGTAAGTAGCTAGAGGCTTTGAAAATCTTAGTGGCAAGTGTACTAGGAATTGTAATGAAATATAATTGCCACACATTGGCCACAGTCATTTTAGTGTTCAATATCATGACAATTTTTATGGCTGAGCAATAAAACCTTGGAATAGCTGCAGCTAAAATGGTCGTCTTAGTGCATGTATAGACAGAGCTGAAAAAAGAGAATTATTAAAGGAATTGCTCTGAAACTCATGCCACCTACCATTCAAATGGTCAAAATAAGGAGACGATTTTGCACTGCAGAAGTGTCAGCAATCAGATGGCGGCAGGAACGAGGCCGGGCGCCTGCTGCGGGGACGCTGAAGCAGCCTCAGAAACGGCTTTGATAAACAAGGGTCCTTGCAGCAGTACAGACGTCACACTGTCTCACTTCTGTCACACCCTTGAGCTTTATCAGCACATCAGTTCATTGCCAAATGCGATCGTCTCCAGCTTCTCTGACCACTCACTCTCTGTAAATTCCTTCCCTGCTCTGTGGAACATCACCTCGAATCTGCTCCTTTCTCTCGGACTTAGGCATTGAGCACACATTCGTATGTCTGCACACCTACTGTGGGTAAGGTGCTAGAGTAAACTATTTAAATAATTTCGTAAATTATTGTTACTTTACTTTAGCCTCTCCAACTACCGTGGAACCTGGGATTGAATCACTCCGTTTAGTAATTATGTCTCAGTGCTTCTGATGGACTGCATGTACCTGCAGGTAAATGACATCCAATGAAGAACAGAAGGCTGGCTCTTTTGTGCAAGGATTCCTGTGAGCAGCCAGTTTGGTGGAATCAAACCTGATGAGAAATAGGTCAACTGCCTTTCAAATAATTCGATTTAACACAGTCATCAGCACCATCATTACCATTAGCTCTTGAACTCGTTCCTTGATGGCAGGCACTGGTCTCGGGCATGCTACACACATTCGTTCACTGAATCTTCACAACCTGCGTGCTGCTGAAATTCATTCGCTGGAGTAGGAATACCATTTATTGGAGTGGTGACTATCATCTATATTCTGCCTGGAACTTGGCAATGGCATTTTACACCCATAAGGATGCGGCTTAGTGGAAAAAATCTGGACTTTCCAGCTAGAAGAGTCTGGATTTGAACACTGGCTCTCTCACATTGTCTGTGGCCTTGGGCAAGTCAGCTAGCGAGACAACCTGTTTTCGCAGGGTCACGAGCATTAGCGATAACACACAGAAAGAATTCAGCACAGGGTAGGTCCGCAATGCAGGACTGCTATGATTATCATCATCGTCACACACACACACTCAGTTATACGGGTAATGACTTCAAGAATTTGACCTAATGTAAACTTGATGAGAGGTAGCCATTTTTAATGGGGATAAGTATTAGGTTAGGGATCTGAAGACCTCAATTTTAATTTTCTTTAGCTGCTAACTTTATGGCCTTGAGCAAATTGCAGAATCTCTTTGTTCTTCCAGATTCCACATCTGGTAAAGTAATACCTGCTCCTCCTGGCCTCGAGGATCTGTCCTGAGAATACACTGTTG